AGAATGGTTTGATCCCTATCCAGCTGAATTCCTGAGAGGAGACGAAATCCAGGTCTCCTACTCCTCCGCCATCTTGCTCCGCCCCCCCCCAATTTTTGTGGTTTTACAATTAAAAAAAATATTTATTAAAGAGGGCACATATTGAATGGAGCACTGGGTGTTATACGCAAACAATGAATCATGGAACACTACATCAAAAACTAATGAAGTAATGTATGGTGATTAACATAACATAATAAAATAAAATTTAAAAAAAAAAGAATATTTATTGTAGGTTTTTGTATATGCCCTTCAGAAGGTTAAGGAAGGATCCTCGCACACTAACAGATGTTAAATTTTCTTGAATGCTTGCCGTGAATCTATTTTGATTATGTGGATTTTCTTTTTTTAATTCATTAATATAGTAGACCACAGATTAATAGATTCTCTCATGTTAAGCCGCTATGTATTGCTAGGTTTAATTAACTAATAATTTGTTTAGGATTTTTCATCTGTGCGTTAGATTAACCTGTACTTTTCCTTTCTCACATTTTCCTTGTCTGGTTTTAGTGTCAAGTTTATACCAGCCTCATAAAATGAGTTGGGAAATATTCCCATTTTTTCTCTTTTCTAGAAGAATTTGTGAAAATTAAACTTATCTGTTTCTTGAAAAATTCATAGAACTTCCTTGAAAAGCTGTTTTATCCTAGTGTGTGTGTTTGCACACATTCATGTGTGAATATCACTGACTACTGCTTCACTTTCTTTAATGGTCATATATCCAGTCATATTTCCTATTTGTACTTGGGTTAGTTTCAGAAAGTTATATTTTTATAGGAATCTGCCCATTTTATCTAAGTTTTCAAACAATATAAAGTCATTCCAAATTTTCTCTAATTATCCTTTTAATCTCTGTTGCATTTCGAATCATGTCCCCTTTTATTCTTTTACTAATAATGTTATTTATCAAATACTTAGATAGCGACTACTATGTGCCTGGCAATGTTCTGAGCACTTTCCAAATATGAATTAATTTATTCCTTATAACAACTTTAAAGGTGGGTACTACCATTATTGTCTTCATTTTATATATAAGAAACTGATTCATGGAGAAGCTGAGTATGTTTCTCAGTGTCATACAGGTGGAATTCAAACCAGGGGGTCTGGCTCTGGAATCCATACATTTAACCACTATGTCACACTGCCTCTGCATTGTTGATACTGATTTTCACTCCTTATTTTGATTGCTTATGATGTTTCTCCTTTTTTCTCAATCGGTTTCGCCAAAGGTTTGCCAACTTTATTAGTTTTTGCAAAGAACCAGCAGATTTACTGATCCACTCCACTGTATGTTTGTTTTCTATTATATTCCTTTATTCTTATATGTATTAACCCTTTTCTTCTACTATCTTTGGATATATCATATTTTTCTTCTGTTTTAGTTAGAAATTCAATTCCTTTTTAAAAATCCTTCTGAAGACTATAAATTTTCCTTTAAATAGTGCTTCAGCTGTATCCCACAAATTTTGATTTGTGGTATTTTTAGTTATTCAGGTCTCAGTGTTTTATTTTTAAACTTTTATGTTTCTTTGACCCATAAGTTATGTTTTTAAGTTTTCAAAAGTATGTTTTCTAAGATACGTATACTTACATTGATTTCCTAACTTAATTGTTCTTTGACCAGAGAACGTGAGCTGGAAGACACCAGTTCTCTGAACATTTACTGAGACTTGTTAATGGCCTGGTACATGGTCACGTTTTTACAATATTGATGATGTTTTACCTAGTAATCTATCACTTAATGAGAGATTTATGAACATCTCCCAATTTGATATAGGTTGGTCAGTACTGCCTTGTGGGTTTTGGTTGGTTGCTTGTTTGCATGCCTTCAAAATTTTGAAGCTGTTCTCAAGGCTTTTAGCTTTCAGGTCTATTTTGCCTGATACTAGTATATCACTACCATCCTAGTATATTCAAGCAGTTTAACATTTGTTTCTCATGGGGTCCCAGGGGATTCAGTGGTTGGTATCCAAACAGAATTTGTGTAAATATCTTAGCTTGTGTTTTCTGAACCACATGGATAGTGTAAATTCACACCATATACATGCGTTAGAGGCTTCAAAGGATCTCCTGCCTGCACCCCCCGCCCCACCGTGCCCCCAGAGTCCAGAGCAGACAGCAAGCCTCCTTGTGGTTTCTCTGGACTGGTGTGTGGAGTATTTGTAGACTCCTTTTCAGGCACTGGGCAATGCTTTGAAAGTCTGTATTTAGAGTAACCCTATGTGTATTGGAACTTTCTGAGAGAAAAAAAAAAAAGTGTATTTTTATTTTCCCATTTGGCATTTCTGCAGCAAACTTACTTCTTACCATGACTGCTGTGTAGCCTTGGCCAACTATTCCAGATGTTACGCCTTGTTTTTGAAACTGATAAACAAATACCAGAAGAAACAGGTCAGTTCTTCATGCATTTAATTCTTCACTATGTCTTTGCATTGGTGTATTTGTGTAAGCTCATGTTGAGTAGCCTTATGTTTTGAATGTACCAGTTTCTATGAGAAGCTTCCATTTGATGTGTTAATGGGCGGCCCCAGGAGATAGTTACCGGTAGGAGTTGAGGAGGGAGTTGTTCTGTTTTGTTTTGTTTTGTTTTGAGGGAGTAGTTTGAGGCAGAAATGGATGCAATAGGATGGTTGATGTGGTAGGATTCCTGGTTTAAGGAAGAGGGTGGGTGCACAGTGTTGTTCCTCCCAGTGATTTATAGACCCTTACATGAGAATCCACTTGGGGTGGGATGGGGGTTATTTCCAGGCCCCACCCCAGACCTGCTGAGTCAGATGGGTGGGGAGGGGCCTGGCCATCTGCACTTCAGTGAGGACCACGGGGACTTCTGATGCAAAGCAAAGTTTGGGATCCCCTACACTGGGTATACTCTAAAGATTCTTCTATCCCTGAAATTCTCTAATTCTTTGACACTTTAGTATTTAGATGAAATTCTTCTAAAGTGAGGTAAGTGTTAGAAAGAAAATAATTTTGTTTTAATGGATCCAGTAAAAGTATATATAATTGTTTAAAAAAAGGAAGAAGTCACAAATGACTCCAACCTTAATAAAATCATAATAGTACAAACATTAAGTTTTATTATAAGTTTTTGACTATTCATTAAATGCAGTTTATTTTTATTCAGCTTTATAAATGATTAAGGTGACATCAACTCTTTAGTGAGATGTTTTATACATGAACACAATATATATTCATTTCAAATATGGTAAAATCTCAGAATCACTAAGTTTAAAACCAAATAATTTATGTGTATACTAAGAACATTTTAATATAAAGCTTTGTGTTTGTATTGGCCATCTCAAAACCACCTCAAAGTATAATCCCTGTTTGCCACAAATAGCAATGAACTTATTTTTACCCAGCCAAGTACTTCTGCCGAGAATGACGAAGTTTGTCAGATTTGATGCTATTATTAGCTAATTTATTAAAAGGTTACTAGTCTCTTTTTGGTTAGACAGATGACAGAAGTTTCTATGCTCATATTATACCATTACTACATTTTGAAGATGATACAACCTTGCTTAAAGTTAAGTTTTTATTTGGCTTTTAAGTAGTGATTTACAAATATGCACTTGAGTTTCTGATTCCGAATATTTGGGTTACAAATGCCTTTCCCTATATATTTTGTATTTTCTCTAAACTATACACTTTGAAAGATTTCAAGGTACAAGAATTGCTATGTCAGGGGAAGAATGGATTTGATTAATCTACCTGAAAATATTCTCAATCTGCTATTAATTGAAGTATCCATTAAGCACTTATTAATCTAGATCTTGGTACAATATATTATCTGAACTGTAATCTTTGGACAAGTGAATTAATCCAATGAAAAGCTTAGGTACTCCTATTCCTGGTTGTCTTTTTTTTTTTTTTAAGATTTTATTTATTTGAGAGAGAGAGACTGAGAGAGAGGCACATGAGAGGGGGGAAGGTCGGGAGGGTCAGAGGGTGAAGCAGACTCCCTGCCGAGCAGGGAGCCCAATGCGGGACTCGATCCAGGGACTCCAGGATCATGACCTGAGCTGAAGGCAGTCACTTAACCAACTGAGCCACCCAGGCGCCCCCCTCGTTGTCTTTTTTAAGGAAAAAAATAAAATGGTGAAAAGATACTTTACTATAGATTAAAAGAATTCTTCTAGATCTTATACTTAAAAAGTTTAGTTACGGATTTTCTTTTGAAATCTTATTTTATGGACTTTCATTGTAATTTTATTTTGTCATCATTATTCTTTTTTGTTTTGGTGTTCGGATCATGGATGATTTAGATAACTGTAACTGGAGAAGACACCTTCACTTGCACTAGAATTTTCAAATGTGGGTGAAAGAAAACATTTCTGCTTAACAGTTTGATTTCAAGTTATGTCATAACCTGTAATTTTTTAAAAAGAAGAAAACCCATCAGTCCAGTACTGAAAGACAAATAGTCCTATTGTTCTGTAGCATTACTAGTAAATAGCTGTTTGTTTTTCTGATTATAGCTCGGATGATGGCCACATTTAGTAAACAGACAAATATCCTGGTATCTTGCCACTATGAGACACTTGAGATGTCAACATAGTTAAGAGTATGCTTCTTCTGGTTCAAGGGACTGTCTTAAAGTTTAATTGGCATAAAATTTTACCACACCTCTTAGTGAACTACTTTTCACTTTGGACCCAAAGTGTAAAGCAAAATTGGTGTTCAAAGGCATATTTTTCTCTGTTGATCTATATGATAATTTTGCTTTCCTATTAAAATTATTTTGGTTCGAAGAAGAATGAAGAGCTCCTTGCAAACTATGTACAGTACATGTTGTTTCCAGAACCATCAAAGAAATGTATAACTTATTAAATTATTTTTATC